GAAGACTCAATAAGTTGACTTTGTATTTAATGTGTGTCTACAAATCTGGCCCAACATTTCTTCAGGAGAACACATGCAGAAATAATTTTGTTTCTTTCCTCATATTGTTATATAAAACAGAGTATAACTGTGTCCTTCACAGAGAAGAAAAGCACTTCAAAACAAAATGTACCTTCTGTTTAATTCCATAGAGGAGAAAAACTGACACCTAATTTCTTCAGACCCTTTGTTTACTGGGTTGGGCTGAGTTAACTTTTTTCACATTTTCAAAGGAGATATTTTACAAGTAGCTTGGTTCTTAAGGGTATTTGGGTTCAAAAAATATGAGTTGCTCTACAGTGGGGTTTTTTACCTCATACTGCCTTTTTAAGAACCAAAATATTTGGTAATTGATAGTCAATAACATTTAAGCTTCTAAATTTAATAAAAATGTATTTAGGCTATTAAGGGAGTTAAATTTTAGATTATTTGGAAAATTTAGATTTGTATATTGAATCACTTTATGATTTTGTACTCAGTTTTGAAAGAAGGTTATTTGATTGGAAATACTGTTATTTTAAGTGGACCATAATTCTTCATTCAAGAGTTACATTTTGGTTCATTGCAAACAAACGTCTTCAGAAAATTATTAGTGCAATTGGAGGCATCTCTTGTAAGACACTCATAAGCTGTTGTGGAAATGATCATCACTTTAGATACAGACTTTGGTTTCTTTACTTTTTTCCTATTTCTTTTTAATCACTGAGATAGAGAGAACAAAGTGTTTGTTTCAGCAAGGCAAGACAAGAGAAGAAATAACTTCAAATAAAATGCATCTGCTCATGAACTGTGAACATTGTGGTGGGACCATAGGTACTTTGAATTTGTCAATTGCTAAAATATATATGGATCCAGATTCTCCAGAATCAGATATGTAACTTAAAGTTACTGTTTTTGTAGCAAGTGGGGTTGGAGCCTACCTATGCTATCTATTAAGAAAATGTCAGCTCTGGAACAAATAGGAATTTTTAATTTTTTTTATTTATTTACATGTTCAGTGTTTGATTCGTAACCTATGGATATATCAAAAAATAGAGTAAGACATTTAGTATGATTGTGAAGACATGCTTCTTCCTAAAGTTAATATGAGCTGTCTTCAAAATGTGAATGCAAAATATATAAAATTATAAAACAGTCCACTCTGTATTTTAAAATATGTTAGAATGTTATAATTAATTAAAATGCTCATAAGTAAAAACATTTGCCAAACATAAAATTAAGCTAGTTTATTCTCAGTGCAATCCTCTTTTGGGTTAGCCAGAATTTTAAGCACTTCTGGGAATGCTTCAGTGTTAAAATATATGAAGGTGTTTTGCTTTATCTGTTTCATTGTCCTAAGAAAATGCCTAGATTTCTGATCTCCAGAAATATTCTGATTGGTGCTCATCAAAACAGTCTTTTAATATCCTTTCTGAATCCCTGCATTAATTCCTCCAAAGCTTCAGGATTAGCTTGACTAATAAACTCAGTTCTGAATAAACTTAACATTGTTCTTCATTGCTTATAAACCTATCTGTCGACAACAATGAATCAGACAAAAGCAAGAAAGCCAGAAGAAAATTAAAATCCTTTCTCATATTTTATCAAGAAGGAACAATATTTTGCTTTCTCTCTGAAGTTAGTTTTGTGGCTAAGTCTTGAAAAAGTGCTAACAATTCTCCCTGGCGAGCACTCTCTTCCCTGTAATCCATGCAGTTTCTGAACCTGAGAAATACAGAGCAAAGAAGAGCATAATTTACAAATGTAACTCTGAAAATTGCATACACATTTTCCTCCTTGAGTTTGAACTGGAAACTAGAAATATCTTTATGTAAAACAGTTATAGCCATTCCTGTTGATTTGCCACGCTTTACCTCTGGTAAATCTGCAGCATGTAGTCCATGCTGTGTTCAATGAGAAAATTTAAAGAGTTTGCATACTGTTGTTGTCTCTCCCTTGATGGATTTTGACCACAAATACAAACATTTGATTCAAACATAAGCCTGGCACATATCTCCTGCTCTAAGAAAAATGCGGTTGAATAGTTTATTAATAATGTGAACACACAAAGTAAAACTGATTCCAGATGGCTTTGTAAGCTCCAGTAACTCAGTGAACGTTAGATAAATTTTTCTGTTCATTAGTTTCAGTAGATGAACTAAGCTATTAAACAGGAATACGAAAAAAATCACCTATTATACATATAATTTTGTTCTGTTCAGAATTTTCTGCTCTCATGCTGAGCCCTTAGGTTAATGCAAGTGCAATGTTCTGGTGCGGGGGATAGAAGACTGACTCTGCTAGCTTGGTTTTGGATTTCATACTGATACAAACAACCCTGGTTCATAAGAGATAACAATTGGGAGTAAAAGTCACAAAACAAGGTGACTTTGTTTGTTTACAACTTTAATATTCAATATCTGAATATTAAAGTTGTAAACTCCATGAACCACAACTTTTTTTTATGATTACAGAAGCTGGGAGTGAGTATGGTGGATATAATTTACACAAGCAAACATTGTCACCCAAATATTGAATGGGGCTTCATGTACTTTTGTGTCCTTAGTCAAATGCTTGATATAATTCCAGCAGCAGTTTCCCAGCTGGAGGTTTTGACATAAATGACCGCTTCACTTTCTGAAGGTGAACGGAGCTGTGTTCCCTTCTATGTTCCCTTCTAGGAGCACATTCAGGCCTTTGAAATGCAATTTTCATCTTTTGAAACCATAATAGGAAAAGTGTCCCTTTGTCTTTGGTAATGTATATTTTACCTTTAAACTGTGGCTTGAGGAATGCTCCTCTGTGGGCCTTTCTTGATGCTGATGTAGCTGCTGAATTTCAGCCATTCCTTTGCTGTGTCCTGGGTTAGAAAAAGTAATGTTATGTCAAGTTTGCAGGAGCAAGAGAAAGTTCAAGCAAGAAGAGCTTGGTAAGGGACTGTCATTTGCATCAAGCTGGCTGATTCTGTCCTTGCTCATCCAAGGCATACGTCCAGGATGATTTCCCCCAGTGTGTACATTTTTTTACAATCCCTTCTTTTCTGCTGCTAAAACAGTTTGTGGTGGGCTGACAGCTTGGTCTGGGATGGCATTGTTTTCCCTTTCCTTATGACTGTACTTCCCACAACATTTAGGGTCTGTGCACAGGGCACAAAGCTATTTTGTGCCAGATAGCCCAGGTGAAGGGCTGCAGTTTCCTGGGCAGAATAGCTGGGGTGATGTGGGAGCCATTCTTGTTGAGGAGCAGAATATCTAGGCTATGATAATGGTAATATGATCTCACTGTTCCCATTGACCAAGCTAGGCTGATAATTTGGGTAACAAACCCATCTTAATTTGTACCCTTATTCTTTTGCTTTTTAGAATTGTTGAATAAAATTACTGATTAAAAATCCAAGCATCAGTAAGTTGTCCACACAATAATGCATTTAAATAACTATTCAGTCTTAAGTATGAAAGTCAATCCATTGAAAGTGTGATTGCTATGGCTTCTTTAATGGATTTTGCACTTACTGTCTGTAAAACACAGTACCTATCTGTGATCTCCACACAAGGTGTCTCCAGACTCCCAGGGAAGTGATATTCAGCAGTTCATGAACAGGCTCTGCACCCAAATCCTGTATCATGATTTACAATGGACCCAGTGTTAAGTGCCTGTCCTGGAAATATAATTTTTAAGCTCATGTTTTGTACTAAATTTTGTTCTGAATTTAGTAGGGACCCTTGGGTATGTAGGATTGGTATTAGCAAGTGACAGCCCACAGGGATCCATTGAAACAGTCTGTGGAAATTGAATTGTCTCACTACCTCCCCACCCTCTTGATGCTGGGGTAGGAGTGGGATTTGCATCCTAGAACTACTTAATGAGCTCAGGTGATGAGCTGTTGGATAAGAAACATAGGTGCTTATTGGGGAGGAATAGAGGTGCTTTTCCTTTTTGTCAAAATTCAGCACTCAGCCAGGCAAAATGGAAAGCACCCTTCTGCTGGGTCAGTAACCACTCTAAGCAAATGCTCTCTGCAGTTTTCCCATCGCAGACAGACCCCTGGATATCCAGTAGTGTAAGCTTCCAGGGACACAGGGGAAAAAGGGACCCAGCAAAGTTGGGTAATGGTAGGAGCCACAGTTTGGCAGAAAAGTGTCATTTCTATCACTACTTATGTGTTTTATCTAACTGTGTTCTAATTATATGTGTGTAAATATTGTTGGAATAGAGATTATTATTTTGGACTCTTGGACTCTTGACACTGTTCTGGTTTAAACCCAGGTATCAACCACACAAGTGCTCTCTCACTCCCCCATGCAGTCCTGGTGTGGTGGGGAGCAGAATCAGAAAAACAGGTAAAACCCATGGGTTGAGATAAGAACAGTTTAAGACTTCAAATAAAGTAAAATATAATAATACTACTGCTAATAAACATGATAATAATAACAATAAGAAGAACAAAATTTTATTGAAAAGGAGAAAGATGTATAAATAAAACCAAAGAGAAATAAGTTATGTACAACACAATTGCTCTCCACCCACTGACTACTGCCCATCCCATTCCCAAGCAGCTGCCTTCCCCTCCTGGCCAATTCTCCCCAGTTTAGATACTGGGCATGACATTCTATGGTATGGAATATCCCTGTGGACAATTCAGATCAGCTGTCCTGGCCTTGCTGCCTCCTGTCTTCTTGTGACACTCCTCACTGACAGAGCATGGGAAACTGAAAAGACACAATCATAGAATGATTTGGGGTGAAAGGAACCTTAAGGATCATCTTGTTCCAACTCCCCTGCAGTGGGCAGGGACACCTTCCACTAGACCAGGTTGCTCAAAGCCTCATTCAACCTGGCCTTGATATATTTTTTTTTAACCTCAGAGTTTATTACTGCAGAAGACTTAAAGATGAAACAGAAATGAACTGAAATGGAAACATTTTGTTTCATTGCTCAACCGCAAAAATATGTAGTTGAGTTATCAGAGAAAATATATTATTTCAAAATAAACTTAGTCCCAAACATTTAAAAGTTCTACTAGGTGGCTTAAGAGGAATTTTTCCTATTGCAATATTTTTTGTTTCAAATTGTTTCAATTCTTCAGCTGCTCCTTGATTTAAATAACTTGTTTCATGCATTCTGGTTTGTGAGTGCAGAAGCTGCTGATGTGATGTTATGTCCAGATACACTATCCAAATGAAATACTACTGGACTGTGAGGCAGAAGTTTCTACTGCTGCATTAAATGTTCCAAAGATTGTAAGCACAGTGATGCTGGCAGAGTTCACAGCAGAATTGCTAGGCAAAGACAAAGCCTCAAAAGCAGGAGTATTACAAGCAGCAGAAATGCTTTCAAACATTTAGACTTTCCAGATGATGATGCACTGGCAAGACTGGAAATCATTGTAAAGAAGAAATTGGTAGCACTGTTACTACTGCTGTCCATGGGAAAGCTTGGCAGCCCAAAGCTTGATGTTTGCAGTCTTCCAGATCCAAAGGAAGGCAAGGGTTGAATGATTTTTTTCTTTAATTCACATGGCACAGCTGCTTTTGTCAATGTACTTAAAGCTTTCAACCGAGGCAGCTGATTTTTCCATTGTCCATTCTCTTGGACAGAATTTATATAGAGTTCTGAATGTTTGCTGTGCAGTCATAACGCTCCAGATGGAATTGTTCTGGCAAGAAATCTGAGAAGCCTGAGACATTCTGTTTTTCTTTCATTGGTAAGATAAAACTATCCATTGTCCTGAAGATTCCCAAATTTCCATGTCTTTCACTACAGAGTCAAGAAGTCTCTTCATCTTTATAGCCATCAGCAATATGTTGACTGTTTGTAAATGCAGAAAATATGTTCTGTAAAATGTCCTTGACCTAGGGTAAGAACTAAGCAACAACCAAAACATGAGTGTGTTATCAATATTATTCTCATACTAAATCCCAAACCACAGCACTGAATAAGCTACGAAGAAAATTAACCTTATCACAGCCAAAACCAGGACACTCTCAGAGTGTTACTTTACCCAAGTTCCGTGGGATTTATGTCACAGTGTCATCATTCCTGACATAAAAATAGTAACTGAAGAGCAATGATTCAACTGGGGATAAGACTCAACTCTTTTAATGTAAATTGCTTTGGAGTTAATTGTTGAGTAAGAAAGTGATCTAGGCTCTAAATTGTTGAACAGAGAGACAAATTACTCAGCCCATCCTGAAATGGGAGATGCTGATGAATCACTGAGCAGAAGGATACCTATATCAAAAAATACTCCTTTGAGTATGGAGGAAACAGGGAAAATTTGCTTGCCAAAATTTTTGAGCTTGAGGACAGATGAAGTGATGGGAGACAAATTGCATCCCAGGTTTGCTGTAAAGCAGGGTTTGGGTTCCCTGTGAGTCACACCAAGAGTGCCTTAATGTGATTGATTTTAAAGAGCAGATGGGATTTCAAAGGAGGAGTCCAGTTCTGCGAGTGTAAAACTGTCCAATCTTCCTCCTGCATATGTGAAAATTAAATGATTGCCCATGTATGGAGGAGTTGCACACCACAATAGCCTGAACGGCATGGGAAGCAATTCTGGTGTGTACAACAAAGCTGCAGCTGAAAGACCAGGCAGCTTTCAGAGGTCTGGAGAGCCTTTTGGAATGTTAGCCCTTCACATAAATTCAGTATATATATGAGGTGAAGAAAGCCATTATGGTTATGTTTTATTCATATTTATCTTCTGCAGAAAGGTAGCATTTTTAGGAAGTGAGACATGCTGTGCCCCCAGGGAAAATTGTCCTGTAGATATCTCCTGTACGGGCAAGGACAGAGCAAGTCATCTGGTGGTCACACTGCATATGTGCCTTGCTTAGTGGAAAATTGCAAGTTTAATTGGGTTTTCCTCCTGCTGTTTTTTTAATAGTACTGAAGCTGTCACTATGAAGGAAACATTGTATATGAAAAATGTCCAGAAAAGATTAAGGTAAGTGGCATCCTAGTGCATTGTTTAGTGCTTAGGGCATAAATAGCAAATCTCAAAAGACTGACAACAATAGCAATAATGTGTAAAAAACAAAGCAAAAATTACCATATCATATAGCTTAGTTGTATGCAAATCAGGCAGCATTAAATGTCAGTTTCCTAACATTTTTTAACAAAGAAAACACAGAGCCAACAAACAATGTTAAACTTTCTGGTCCCAGTGGTGACAGAAATCCTTTCAAATCCTGTGTGGAACCAGCAGCAAGGTAGACTTCTGTACATTCTACTCATAGTGTGTCAGTACCAACCTCAGGGCCTCTTCAGGAGACACAACACAGTGAAGTGAGCATTGATCTGGGCCCACCAGCAGATTTGGGTGCTGGAAAACTGTGTGTCTCTGTGTATAGTCCAGCTTTAAGGTTCCTACTGCCATACAGGAATCAACAGCCTTACAATACCTGTCCTTTCTACCCCCACAAGGACTGAATGTCTCATAAGGAACCCACAGTCAGCACCTGGAAGGAAAAGTTGTTCTCAAATCACTTTGAGGGGCTATGGGGAATAAGCTTCCTTCTCACATCCTCATCCTTGACTGGACTCAAAGTCATCCTACCTGTACCTCCCACAAGGTTCTTCTTTCCAGACACACTGAAGTAAGTAGATTGTCCCAGAAATTTTCTTTAGAAGTGGAACAGTAGTCACCTATAAGGCAAAACCAGAGGAAATATCAATGACTTCCTTACAGGTAATCTATATAATGTAATTCTGAGTGGGCAGAATACTCTATATGGGATACAATTCCATTCCCTTCTCCACCTGAAATAATTCCAATCGCTTCCCACCACCTAGGTGAATGTCCCAGCTAGCAAGGTATTGGGGCTCTGGCAGATGTTAAAGGAAAGAGAAGGGAGAAGAATAGCAGGAAGAGGGCTGCTAGTTACATTTTTTAAAGCATTACCTAAAATTGAATGGGAGCAACTTAATTTTTGATATTTCTTAAAGGATGAGGGTCCAGGGAAAGAGCAAAACAGCTTGTCCAGTCTGGGATTAGCCAAAGTCACACTTCTGCATGAAAAGCAAAGTTCTTTCACACCGCATTTTCATGAAAACTTCAGAAAACTTGTGAAACATATCCACTTCCTCACAGTTAAAAGATTGTAAGACTTAAACAGCTTCTTTTACTGTCATTCCATTTTTCTGGCACACCTTACTTGGAGATACATGCTGCATAGGTCTCTTCCATGCCCTTTCTCCCTGTTTTTTCAGTGTCTCTGGCTAAAGCTTTTAGCAGTCCTTCCATTCACAGCGCTGTCTTTGATGTCTGTTTATTCCTGGTACCATGCAGTGTCGCATAATCAGATGCAATAATGTCGCTGAACAAATCCTTCCTTCCAAGCAGAAAGTATTTCATGCTGTTGGACTTAGATAAAAGTATACTCTATTTTGCAGGACCCATATTTCCAGTGTCATTTTTGGGCAGCTAGTCCCATAAGGCAAGTTTTAGGAGTCACAGAAATAGTCCCAGATAATGATTTTTTTTTCCTAACACATTTTTATAAGAAAAAAAAAAATAATTTGCAAGTCCAGTGTGAAAATAAAGAGGCCCTAGAGACAAAAGTAGAATTCACAACAGTTGTTTTAATTATTTTTATTATTTTATACTTTTGTCTTTAAATTTTAATGAACTAATAGAAAAATTTTATTATTTAATGTCAAAATAGCTGCTATGGGTCTTCTGATAACTTCATGCCTTTGATTTATCCACAGATCAGAGCTTAGTGGTATGACAGGTGTCATGAGCAACCATAACTGTGTGTTTTGCTCCAGAGAGTTTTTAACTAATGACAAAGAAATAACAGCATGATTTCAGCACATATTCTGCACAAACTTAGGAATTAATTTTATGAGTTACCTGCAAAGAATTTATTATGCTTGGGAAGCTCTATCACTTACAATGTTCTCTGCAGTGGGTACAAACCTGCAAGAGAAATGGATATATGGATATAATACAAATTTTGTGTATAAAATTCACTTCTGTGGAGAAGCCTAATGAGAAGCCTAAATACCACTTCTTGTTTGATATTACAGAGAACTTGAACTTTGTGTTTACTACGTGTTTGTCGTTTTATATTTAGTTAAATTAATATACCTACTGCATGCTATATCACAGGAATGTTAAAATGCTGGGAATTTTCTTCTGCTGATGAAGAAGAATCCCTGTCTGAATGTATCTTTATACACATATGGTTCAGCCATTTGATGTAACGATTTTTTTCATAGACAACATTGATTAAATTTGGAATTTTACTTCCTTCTCTACTTTGTGCTGTTCTCAGATGATGATGGCTTCATTTGGCAAGGGCTGACAGTGTATGTGTTTTATTTCAAATATGCCCAAATATAACCATAATTTGGTTTAAGGAGAAACTGTTACAAATATATGTTTGACCTGCTATTTCTTTATACATACTCCACAAAACAGGCTGCTAATTAATCGATTTCATTTTTCTTATTGCATTGCTTTCCTGTGTATTTTTGTCCACTTATATATCAGCTAGAATCTCTGTAAGGCAGGGACTAGTAAGTTTTTAGGCTGCGCACATCTTGAGATTTTTATCCGTGACTTTATTTTTGTAGCACTCAAAATAATAAGCATAATTTATAGTACTTGTCTGTTTTGCCATGTTGAGTTATTCCATCAGATCTCAATGGGAAAGTTGCTTCAAAATGAAACTGCTGGTTATGAATACAGAAAGTTGTCAACTTGTGAAATGGTTTGACTCCTGAAGAGAACATTCCTGTTTAAAAAATACTTGCATCCTTTTGTAATATTTTTGATCTTATGTTGAAGATTTTAAATTGGCTTTTGAACCCATGTTTGGCATTTTATAGAGCTGAATTAATTGTAAGCTTTAGTTTTTCTTTTTCTTGAAAGATTATTCAGTTCCTTTTTCTCCTTACAAAAATGCCATAAGGGGCTCCCATGAGTCCACAAGAGAAAATGAAAGCTTTCAGTTAATAAAATGCATTTACCTGTGTGTGTAAGCTATGACTGACTGAACTTCCCCCAGCACTGCTGTTATTATATACCATACATCTCCCACAGATATACAAGACTCAGGGTCAGTGGGGAACAAAAGTTTTTGTAGAAATGCTGGTATGCAAGAGTTCTTCATCTTCTGAAGCTGTTGTGTCTGAAGTGTGAAATGGCCATCAGAAAATTTGCTAAAATAACTACTATTTGCCTGTACTGCTGCTTCTCACAGAATGACACTTGCAGTTGCAAAGGGTTTCTGTGAACAGGTGCAAAATGGTTGTGTTTCAGCCCACAGACATTTAAAGGTAGAGGGAAGTAGAGAGAGGAAGGGAAGAGAATCATAGAATGGCTTGGTTTGGAAGGGGCCTTAAAAACCACCTCGTTCCAACTCCCCTGCCATGGGTAGGGACACCTTTCACTAGACCAGGTTTCTCCGAGTCCCATCCAGCTTTGCCTTGAACACTTCCAAGGATGGGGCATCCACATCTTCTCTGCGCCACCTGTTCCAGTGCCTTACCACCTTCTCTATAAAGAATTTCTTCCTAGCATCCAATTTTACCCTGCCCTTTTTCAGTTTAAACCATTTCCCCTTGTCCTATCCCTACAGACCCTACTGAAATGCCTTTCTTATAAGCCCCTTAAGTACTGGAAGGTTTCTCTGGAGCCTTCTCTTGCCACACTGAACAACCCCAATTCTCCTAGCCTTTCCTCACAGGAGAGATGCTCCATTGTTGACTTGTGCTTTAGCAATGACCTGGCAAACTGAG